ATCAACTATTATCTGTAATTTGGTCTAAAATGGCGTCCAGAGATAAATCTGTGACTTTGATTCCGCGCAAAGGTAAATAAATCTTTATTCATCTATAGAAATAATAAGCAAATATGTGTTATTTTGTGTTAAATAATATATTAGTTGTGTAAACTAAGGATTTGAAGTTCTATTTTGTTGAAGAAATAAATACTGTGGTCCTACCCTCAATTTCATTTTTTATGTCCTTTGCAAAGTACAATAGCATGTAATTAATACTAAAATTCTAGAGTTCTGATGTTCTATGTAAAGTACATATACGTAAATTTAAGTTTTTTACAGCGGTTAAAAAAAGTTATCATTGCAGATATCTTGATGACTCCAAATTGGACTTTTCTGGTGATGATTCCGATGAAAATCCTGAGTTATTCCCACCAAAATTCCAACAAATGACAAATGACCATCGTATCAGTGAATCTAGTAGCTCGGATGAGGGAGAGATAGCTTTGATCACTCCTGTGGATTCTCAAACATCTTATGCATCATCAGATTCCTCATATCTACCACCAATAAGAGGACGACTTAGTATTGCATCGCGGGAGCGGGGATGTTCGCGTGGCTTTAGTCGTGGCCGTACCGAGGTGTTGGTTCGCCATCGGTATCTACGCCAGACAGCTATGCAAAACAATGCTAACACTCAAATTAAATGACACACCAAAAACAGAAAATTAAAAAAATGATGCAACCTGCCTATTTTCCAGAACATAGTGTAAAACAATCGCGCTGCAGAAGCATTGGTTGTAATAAAAAACTACATTTCTCTGCAAAAAATGTGGGATCTACCTGTGTTTCACTTCTAATCCCAATTCTTTCACCAATTTCCATGTAGAATTCATAAATTTGAGTCTTAAAAACTAACTATTATGAAGAACTGACTGATCTCTAATGTTTCTAATGTTCAATTATAGTGATTTTGTAAGAGAAAGTAAAATTTTGAGAATTATGTTGATAAAAATTTGAATTTCGTTAATTTTGATAAAGAACAATAAAAATAAATATTATACATCTAAAATTATGTTTAAAATAACCTATTATTTGTAGTATATTCTAGATTAACCCGCAAAAAATGGCTATGTCCTTTACGAATGACATTTTGATTAAATACCGTTGTCCTTTATAAAGGACATAGTGAAAAACAAGATTTTCCAATTTAATAATTTTTTATCTATTTTTTTTTATACTATCTTACCATAATGTAGTGCACTACAAAAATTTCATAACGCAACTCCAAAAAAAGTATGTCTGGTACTCAGGAGGTTAAAGGTGGTTTGTATGTTAAAATTGCATTTGGGTCATAGCAGCCATGTTACTTGCATCTTTAGTTGGAGGTAAGATAGCTAGTTCCTCTGAGGTTGGGGATTCCGGGCGAGCTTCCACCTTCCTTATCTTCGACTTATCATCACTTTCCATCAGGTGAGATGCAGGCCAAGAGCTTCCTCGTTATGGATAAAAAAAACTCGTCGCATCTTTATGGTAGATATTACCTTCGTCTTTTAGCACTCTCTTAACAACGTTCCCCGTATTTTGGTGGATTTGTCAACCCTCTAGTTCAAAGCGAGATACTTAACGATAACACAAATATGGATAAACAAAAAAGTTGGGTTTAACTCGCAGACATGTGGCCTAAGGTAAAAAAAAAGAGAAAATCCACACAAATTAAATGGGGACATAGCTTTGCGTGTTAATTACGCAAAGTAAACGCAAATCAAGGATTACAGGTAAACGACCGAATAAGTAACGATTGAAACATATTGTGCAATTTGAACTCTCATTTTGTAATTGCTTAATTTTTCTTTTTGTTGCCAATAATACAACTTTCATCGGTTTTATTATCTTGCCGAAGGATTTTAAAATCTCTACATTTTCATCGATTAATATCATTGTTAGTATTACGAGTACGACACTAAAAAAGATATCATTGCTAACTTTTCTACTCGAAATAGGTATTAGCAATAAATAACACTAATTACCAAAGTAATTAATTATACGACAATAACTTAAATAAAACGCACTAGTGTTCTTAGAAAAACTCGTTCCAAAAGGGTCTTTAACATTAAATGAAAACAAATGAAGCATGCCATTTTAATTGGAAAAAACAATTTGATTTTAATGACCGCAAAAAGTGATTTAAAAAACATGGTTTTTAACTAACTAGAACGCTATTCGAAAAATTTTGACAAAAAACTTCACTATGATATTTCTATTAATATGAAAGTTTGTGCAAATGGATGGATGTTTGTTACTCTTTCAGGTTCAAACCAATTAACTGATTTAAATTAAATTTGATAGAGTTTAAAACCCGTAGTAAAATATTAGATATTTTTCTCAGTTTTAGAAGGTGTCTCCCTTCACACGCGATGAAAATTTTCTGACAGGCTGAAATCGACTTGAGCAAAGTCGCAGACAAAAACTAGTTGGTATAATATTCGGCTTCATTCATCTTAAATGCGATCATGTGTAAAAGAGATGAAAGCCGATACATCAAAATTTCATCGCACAGAAGAATCTTAGCTCTAATTCTAAACTATGCTCAATATAGCGGTTAAAGGCACCCAAATTGGCACTTAGATTTGGTCACGTATAAAAAGTAACACAATCCACCAATTAGCATAGCTCTATATGTAGGGTTGCCATTCGTCCGGGTTTCCCCGGATTTGTCCTAGTTTAGAGGGCGTCCGAGGAACGTCCGGGAGGTTTTTATTTATTGTCCGGGTATTAAAAAAAACCTGCTGACACATCAAGGTTCTGGGCTCCAAAATCCGGGATTTTCACGCATCTTGTCCTGGTTCCCAAATTTTAGAGATGGCAACCCTATCTACATGTGCTACGCCGTTATAACACACATTAATTATGAAGTCTGAGAATGTGTGCCGATAAAAAGCTAATATCAATAATTCAGAACCTGATTTGAGATTACATCTCCAGGTTTAGTGCTAGCGACATATTGGGAGTTTGATGCAGCAGTTTCACATCACTCAACAACTCCATCTCTATCTTCTTCTTTTCCCTAGCCCTTTTTCCCATTATTTGGGGTCGGCTCTCCTTGTTCTAAAGCACCAGGACAGTCTGGGTTGTCGAATTTTTTGTGTGGTCACGCTCTAAGTCCTTGGCCACCGTGGACTTCCAGGTAGAGAAAACTTTATACACAAAAATGTCTGAACATTTCACAATGCCAAAAGCAGCGTTTAAAAGACTTACCACTCACTCACTCACTAAAGATAGGTACTTATATTCCATTAAGATCTGACTTAAATATTGAATCTATGATTCACTCTTGCAAAAGAGTGAGTGATTCTGTCCTGTAATTATCCAAATATTTAAATTCAACCAATCTATATATATAAAAATGAAACCCGTTTCGCGTTGTCACGGCATCACGTGTGAACGGCTGAACCGATTTCGATAATTCTTTTTTTTTAATGTTTGTGGAAGTCCAAGGATGGTTCTTACGGAAAAAAATATTAAGAAAATCTCTACGCTAAGGCGGTACGAAGTTCGCCGGGTCAGCTAGTACCTAATAAATTGATAGAGATCAAGACTGAGTAGAGTTTTAAGCTTTGTTTTGGAGAAAAATCTGACAGACGGAGACTTTGTTTTATACTATGTTGTGATAAAGAAGCAAGTACTTCATTCCTCATGTATGTGAAGTAACCCTACTGTCATACGGGTCAATACTGTGTTATTGAATAAACTGGCCTCTTTGGAGCAGACATTAAGATTCATAATTTCAAACCTAGACCTCTGGACAGTCGTGACTGGTACTGGAGTCATAAATTTTGGATGACCTTTTGCAATTTTAATATACATGCTGGTTAAAAATGACAACTCTAAAGGTCAAAATCGTTTGCATTAATTTCGAAAATCAAATGCATCAATATTAAACTCTAAAATAATCATATGGCCTTAGAAGAATAGTAATATGTTGCGACAAAATCACAAGAACTGCATTATTTAGATTTTATTATTGAAAAGCTGTAGGTTCTGTATTGATATTAATCGTTAGTCTGGAAACTATTTTGGAATCATTTTTGTCTGTTGGAAGTTCAATGGAATTGTTTTATTTTCAGGTTTTTATCAGATATTGTATTTCCTGGAAAACTTTCTACTTTAAACAAGTTTTCACGTTGAAAGCGATTTTAAAGGTCAATCGAATTAATTTCCCTTCCGAATACAAGCCTGATTTCTGTACAAATCTTGGATTGGTATTTATAATATCCGTAAACAATTAAGCAACTGCCGTATCTTGTAACCCGTGCAATGGTTCCGGTCTAATGGAGATCGTTGCGATTTGCACTGGACCAAGACACTAGTGCACAGATATTTATTGTGGATTTTTCTTTCCTATACTTTGATTGGCAGGCAACACAGCACCAGATGTTATGCTGATTATGGAAAATTTACAGTGATTAAACTTGTTACTTATCGTGTTTGGGTTTCTTCATATGCTTCTAAACACCATTAATGAGTTTTTAGTTTAAACACTTTAGCCGGGATAAAAATTTGGATTCACCTAGTTCTCGCCTAACAGTGAACAACACCCATACCAAGTTGTTGATTTTGAGGAAAATTGTATGTAATGTTATTGAATATTCGACTTTATTAAGCTGGTGCAGAGGTCATGCTAAGTAGGGTAAGTAACCAGTACTTATTGACATTTACGTGTATTGTAGTTTCGGATTGATTAATACGATTCTGAATCACTGTCATTTACTGTGAAATGAGCACAACAAAACATTCAAGGGAAAACCATTGTCATTTGTGGCGAGATCTACCTATTTAATATGAACTCACGTAACCTTTAAAAATATTATTTGTAATATAATAAACTCGTCCGAATCGGTTACAGACCATAAACAGAACATAATCGCTGTGCATACAATACCCGGTGTAACCCGAAAGCATACGTTTTTAAAGTTTCACAGTTGGCACCGCACTATAAATAGAAAACAAACAAAACTTACCTTTATTGTCGCCGTGCAGGGTTTTGGCCGAGGGTGCCATGCCGAAGGGCGCCTTGGGCACTATAGCGGCGCCCTTGTTTTTTTCGAACAGCGCTTTGCGTTCGCGTAAAGACATTTCGGCGGGGTCCTTATTCCTCGGGCTGCCCGCTTCGAACATGGCAGCTCTGGACAACACTGAGCTTCTGTCAACATTCCCATTCAGCTTGGGCGCGAGTCTTTTAGCCGCGGGCGAGCCCTTCTCGGCCGCCGGTTTTTGATCAGCCGGCTCCGGCTTTGTTTGTATACAATCGCTTGCGTCATCGCTTTCTTGTTCTGCCTGTGCGGCGTTGTTCTCTTTGTCTTTATCCTCGTCGTCGCCGAGCTGGTTCTTGCTGGGCGGCGTGGGAGCCCTGTATTTCTTGAGCGATGGTTTTTTAGTCACCGTCGCGGCGACCGGCGGCGCGCTGGCTACCATTGCGGCCATGTTGGGGGCTGGAGCGGCACTGGGGGTTGTCGATGCGCGTTTCGGCTCCTGTCGGGCGGGATCGGCGTTTTCCGTCGCGGTAAAGTCGTACACCAGCCGCGATTTGCCGGCGGAGACTCGCCGGTAGCCCTCGCCCTCCTACGATTGGACAAAGGCGGCGAGTGGCGCGGGGTGAGCACGTGCGTGCATTCCGTGTACTGACACGGCGCGGGTTAGTGGGAACGGTCGAACTGGGTTAGCGGTTGGGGGGTTAACGGCGAAGTTGCATCATAGATTGCGCAAGGTTAATGACGTTGTAAGAGAAAAAAAAGATTGAATGCGCGAGCGAATGGTGCGATGGGTGATTCCGTTATCGTGCCGCGTATTGTTTACGGCGAGGCTGCGCGTGAGTCGCGCCTGACGTCGCCCAAACAACTGCGGGATCGCGCCGGCCACACGTGCGGGAAACCAGTACGTAATTATATTTTGACTCGCAAACGTGTCGTCACAGCGTTTTGCAACCAGCTGCACGCTAATTACTATCATCGGCGATTAGATGACTTGACGTTTAGGTCTCAACAAGAAGATATCGGTTGACAGGTGGCAATAACAATACAGTAGTCTGTCAAAGATTATAATGAGAATAAGCGGCGTATAATTCGGTTATTGAAAACGAAAGTTGACCAGCTTTGTTATTGTAAAAGAACAACAAAGCCAAACTAACAAAAACCGAACGACTGAAACGTTCAGGCCATTTCAAAAGTGAAAACTTAAAACAAAGAGGACATAGCTGTCATCGTTCACAATAAAAATGAGATCCTCTGCTTTGATGGTTTTACATCTTTCATAATAACTTTATGGGCATAAAAACTGCTCAAAAATAACATCTCTAATTCTAAATATAAATAAACTAGAGGATGTCAATACCACGATAGCAATGACCGCCGAATTGAGCAGTTACTGCTTGACGCAAGGTCGGGAGGCGCTAAGTGTAGTATAATTACGCATAGTTTAAAGTTTGATGCACAACGTTGAGCAATAAGACATGGCCCTTGGAAAAAACATTGTAACTGTTGTAGACCTTTCGTCAGATTAACCTGATGTTCGGTAAAGGGCTTAAAGTTAAAGAAACTTATTGTATAACCCTTTGCTTCTTTTATGATAATGCCATCACATTATAAACAGAAATGTTTGATTCGAAACTACTGGACAGATATGAAATTATGCCTAATGAACATAGGCTGTAAGAATATGGATGGATAAAGAAATTCTGTGACAGACCAAAATTAACGCGGGCGAAGCCGCTGGAAAAAGATAGTTTATATGATAAAACAAAATATTCTAAACATAAATTATGTCTTAAACATTATTTTAGGAGTAGGGTCTGTAGACGCTTATTATAAGGGCCCAAACACACCCAAATTGAATTAAGCCTATTAACCAATTGTCTACTTAAAACATTGGACCAACGAAATGGTGATAGACATACCCTTTCCACGATGTCAATGACACTAATCCTTTGACAACGGCTTATTAAAATTTGGACTTTGAGATACAAGAGGTTATTTCAAAATGTACAAATGTCTATGACAACAAATTAAACATCCTAGCACTATTTGTACAGTCACCGTCAAATAGTTCGTGACGCCCAAAGTAGCCAAAAAGTTCGCAAAACGTCCTTATTACAGTAACAAAAACGTGTTGCCAAAAAGTTAACTTTTTGCCCATTTTGGGTGTCACGCTATCTGTACCTACAAAAACAATAACTAAAATATCCTAAGACCTGAGATAAGCTCGAGCAAAAGCCCTTAGAGATCGCTAATGACGTTTATAATTAGATCGTACGACCTATCTTTAGATGTAAATAATGTCGCGTCGAGTGGCGGCGGTGGGTCTGCAAGGAACTGCATGTTATATCAAGAGCGTACGGTGTATAATATAATACTGATATGATATGATTATATATATAATCTTAGATTAATAAAACCTAGATAGATAGTCAGTGCACGAAAGGTGAGGCAGATTTTAGTAAGCCAGAATGGCTTACTCGTAAACGTCACATGAACTGTCAAAGTGAAAAATTGGTAAACACGTCCGACGACTTTTAATTAATTAAGACGGTTTGTGCTGTGAAAGGGTGTCTAAATACATCAGAAAAACTAAAGAAAGTGACCAGTGTTACATTTCATAAGTAAGTACTACGATTCGACGCGTATTTTGCTTGAATTTGGCTTTCAAAAATTAAATACGGGAATGATACCAGTAACAAGAAAATTTATTTCCCAATTGTTCGCCGTACAAATACACTTCCTTTTTTATGAAATCGAGACTTTTCAGTCGATTTATCTTATTGTAATTAGGTAGGTTCTTTGAATTCAATAAATAAGTAAGTACATGATGCGTTTTGTTTTTGTTAGTTATAAAATAATTAAAAACGTATTAAAAATTTCCCTACTTTCGGGAAAATCGCCTTCACTGTCTACACTCCCCAACAAAATTGACACTAATGACATAAGATTTTTGCCTCACTCTTGACGAAGCGTTTGTATGAAGACTATCCATCTAGGTTTTATTAATCTAAGTATATAATATAATCAGTCGGCCGTTTGGTGTAGTGGTTCGGAACGTACTACTATTCCGGAGGTAGCGGGTTCGATTCCCGCACAGTACAAACATTTGTGTGCATGAACATATTTGTTTGTATTGGACTGGGTGTTTTCTATGTATAATAAGTATGTATTTACAAAAAAAAAAGTATTTATGTATGTTTATATCCGTTGTCTAGTACCCATAGTACAAGCTTTGCTTAGTTTGGGACTAGAAGCGCAGTGTAAAATGTCTAAGGATATTTATTTATTTATTTATAACGCGTTAGATTGTAAACTAACAGTGGGTTAGGTTAGGTTAGATTGTAATTTAACTACGTCAGATTATAATCTGACGGAATTCACAATATTACGGTGACATATGTACACCGCATACAGGCTGTCAGGTTGAAGCTAGTGCCAAACCTTCCGAAGGGTTTTTCATATTAGCAGAATCAGTAAGTATTATCATTGTCGTTTGGACATAATTATTTCCTTTACAAAAGCTTGAATAATTGTGTCAGATAGGTCTCAATTGACGATTGAAGGCGCAACGTAAATGATTTAGAAAACCAAGAACACACAATAAAGATTTCTATTTGAATCTGTTGGGCAGATACTATTTAGCAGATTACTTTTTTCACGGCTCAAATAGTTAAATTACACAACATGCCAGAACCAATTAATCAGTAGCATTTTTTGTCTCACACCGTCAGTAATCCGCCGCCTGGACATACACTATTCACACAATCGGTTGTGTTACGGCCACAGTTCATCGCACCAGCAATCGGGTCGATCAATCTCATTTGACCGGATAATAATTAACTTTTAAAAAAAATAAAACCGACTTCAAATGCGTGAACACAAAAAAAACTAAAAATTAAAAATATTGCGTATAAAAAAGTTCATCCCCAATTTTCCACCCTTGGGGGTTGTTTTTTCTATTATTAAATTTAAATGGGACCACCCTTGAAGTATTACCTATACGCCGAAAAAAGATTTTTTCAAATCGGTTCATAATTGGCGGAGTTATCGCGTAACAAACATAGAAAAAAAAAACATACGGGTCGAATTGAGAACCTCCTCCTTTTTTGAAGTCGGTTGAAAACTCTGGATAGAGATACTTTTGAACCGGTAACCGGTGCGAAAAAAGTCGGTTCAACAAACTACAACCTTGTTTAATCCGAGAGTATTGTACCCAAAGCACGAACAAGTCTCGTAATCGTAGAGCTGTAGTTGTCATAACAAAGTATTGTTTGAAACAAGAGCAAATTCTTTGACTAGACGATAAAAATATATCTGTCGACAACAATAGCTTTTATTACGTTCTTTACATTTTTCAAATTATTTAGGCAAATTAATAACAAAATTTGTTTCTTATATGACATCAAACAATCTGTTCTACGATTGCTATACGATTACGAGAGTTCGTGCTTGGGATACTGATGTTGCTTCTTAAGGTAAGTACATAAAGGTGCTTTCAAACATGGTTGGTTTATGTCGTCGTGATGCTGCACGACAATGACGCAACAAAAAATGGCGACACGAGAGGCGGAGGAGGCGAATCCATGACGATGATAAAACGTGATATAATGGCTTCTCCACTGTTTACTTGTAGAACCAATTTTCGACGGATGCTTGACCCATTTTTCAACGTAATCACTATCGACTTATAGTTGTTTTGGTCATCTAGCTCGATCAATCGACGCAATATTATGCGCTTTATGTATAGGCCTGATAAGTAATTCTTATTTCATCTTTCGTTTCAGCTAAATGACATCCACTGCTGGACAAAGGCCTCCCCAAGGACTGTCTATAGGACCGGTCGTGGTCCTGCGCTGCCCGCATCCAGGTACTTCACCAGATCGTCGGTTCACCTAGTGGGGGGCCTGCCCACACCACATTTTCCAGCCCGTGCTCACCACTCAAGAACTTTTCTGCTCCATCGGCTATCAGCTTTATTTGATCACAAAAAAATAATTCAAAACTGAATTTAACGGAATGTACACGTCAAAAAATACAACTTGAATTTAGTTATTTGTATTGTCAGCGTAAAAAATCTTTGAACAGCACATTTTCTGAAAAAAACTGGAAAAAGCACTAACTAAAACTTTTTATCTAGAAACAACATTGACATAAAACCAGTCGATGTTATTGTAGGCCACTGAAATCGGACACTTTAAAAACAATGGCCGTGGGCATATCGAGTTTCCGCGCACAGATGCATGGAACAGAATACAGAATTTTGGTGACTGGACAATATTATGATCATGACTTTTTACTTGACAAATTAGTTTGCCGTAAGTGCCACACATTTTGACAGACTTCAGCAATGCCTCAACCGCCAAGAAATTAAAGAAACATGTAAGCTAACCTTGAGTCCTAAGATTTAAGTATAGAGTTACTACTATGGTATTCAGGTAGTTTCTTCTTTTGATTTTTATTTCTGTCCGCTTAAAACGATGGCGGCTCAACAAAATACTTAATTTGCACATCAAACGACTTGCGCCGGAGATAAGTGTACACAAAACGCTTAGATCTCTATCGGTACATACATTTCGCGGTAAGTACCAG